CTGAACCTAATGTATACATTCGACAAATGTTTCTTTGACATTTTTTCACGATATTTAGCGTCGAAAGACATTTGAGCGTATTATGATCAATAGTAAAGTTTGAAGGCTTTTTTTGTTTGTTAAAATACCGTGAACGTAAACTGCTGAAACAGCCCCCTAAGACCTTTGTATATCGCGAAATCTCTTAGCCTTTGCTATTTTACCATTATTGAAATTGACTAATTGCATGGAGGATTACAATTACATTGCATGTAAATATAACTTTCTTACGTGATTTAATGAAATATAAGCAAACTACATATATATATATATATATATTATATTAGTCATTTCACTTTTAAAAAGCACCTTCAAAATTTCAAACGAGTAAATCCGTTACATAAAAGTATTTAAAGAAGTATTTTCTTAAATGGTAAAAATATCGTCGGTTACATATTAGTACATTATCATAAAATGATTAGAGAGCATGTAATGTATTTTCATTATTGTTGACTAAACAACTGCATTGTTGATTAGCCCAGTAGCGACTCGCTAGTAAAGAAAAAAGTATCGCTAAACATTTTTGATCAGCATAATGTTGCTCTTAATGAAAGAGCAAAAACTCTTATTTTAATTTGAGCGTAAATATCAAGTTTTAGGTCATTAATCTAAACGCTAATAACGAACATATGTTCTTATTTACGCAGTATTTAAATTTACTACAATTTTCATTGAAGTGTCATGGACAGCAAGCAACCTATGTAAGTTTCATAGCTTATTCATTCAGACATTATTTTACGCGTGAACAGTGAAAAACGACAACTGGAATTCATCTCTCCTTAGACATTCTAATTTAAGCTAATTGAATAGTTGATTCGATAAAATTCGTTTAATGTTTTGTTCTATATTTAATAATCTAGTCGATATATTGTTGTTAATACTATTTTCATATGTACACAAGCTCAGCCTCGGAAAGTTTAAAATGTTAATGGTTTCTTAGATGGCTTGTTTTATTGTAAATATTTTTACAATGTTGAATAGCCGATGAATGATCGATGAATGATTAATAAAATTGTTGGTTCCACATATAATGTAATATTAAATTTTATATATGAAATGATGGAATATTGAAATTAACACAATCGGTCCTTACAGTTTGCCTATTAAAGCGGATTAACATTTTCCTTACTATTTGTATATTTTTAAATGTTACAATTTTAATCGCACGAGCCACTATAATGCATAAATTCAACGAAATATTTATATTTTTTATTATTCAAATATTACATCTTATTTATTGCATATATTGCGTATAGCAAGTCGTATTTAAATTTATTATCATATTTTTCTTATAATTACAATTGCATTTTAACACTACGCAAGGTTATAATATTAAACCTATTGGTTTAGTATTATTCACTACAAATTCAATGTTTGAATAACTAAAGTACAATGAGTTTGAGCTTTATGTTAAAACTATAAAGTCGTTATATATATTTATATATAAATAACGAAAATGGTTGAAATACTTATGGGTGCGTACGCGCGCATTCGTGCGTGCGTGAGAGAGTATCGTATGAACATTACATGAGTTATGAAATTGTTAGATGTAATCAGAGTAGTAAATGTCTTAAAATTTTTTTAACTAAATAAAATTATTTGGTGACTGACGGGGTTAACAGAAGATTTCACGGTCAAATTGTATATCTGGTAAATTGGTTTACTTGAATTTTTTTCGTGTTTACTCTTCGAGAAATCAGTATAATGTGACATTGGAACGAATTTTTTGATATTTTTTTCAACAAGTTCATTGGAAGTTTGGTCGATAATATTTATTTTTCCCTGCTCAATTGAGATGAAAGTGCTGCTAAACCTTATCAATTTAATTGCAAGCCTAACGATACATGAGATTTAAAAACGCTTTAAAACTTTAACTTTCCTTCTTGATCCTTATTCGTAAGATGCTTTTAAGCAAAATGATAAAAGAAATTATTACTTTATTTACATATGCGCTGATGATATTAATGTGAAATGGGATTATGTAAGCGTTGATTTGCAATTTCTTTTTCAAGCTCCATTAGACGAGAGAGCAGAAATGCGAGCTGGCTGAAATCTTTAATGGGATCTGATGAAAGAAAATTTGCAATATTTGCAGACGCCGGAAGGTATATTCTGAACTTTAGAGACGCGTTTACGATACACATTATTTGGCACACTTCGTCACATTTGATGGAATAACTTATAGATACTTTTTATCCACGAGTTCATTGAAAGTTAATTTGATAATGCTTATTTATAGACTTTTAATCTTTACTAAAGCTACTTTCTAATAATTATTACTGTGGAAAATATATAGTTTGGGAATTTAATTCGTATAATAAAAATGAAATTAATGATCTCTGATATAATTTCTCACATTTTCTTGGAATATTCCAAGATAGTATTGCAAAATTCATCCAAATAGATATTTTATCATTGTTGGTCAATACAAAATGATAATTTTTATTAGATAATTTCTCTCGTTATAATAAAAAAGTAGTTATTTTTGACAAAGAAATATCTTATTATGCTTTTATCTTAAATTATCATAAACTGATATTGAATAGCGAGTTTCTGCTTTTGTCACTGTGTGTGCGCGCGTGTCTCCGTGCGTTCGTGGGCGCGAGAGCGCGCGCGAGTGCTCTCGCGTTACACAACACATACACAATAGGCGACGTGATTCCAACTAGCGCAACGTGAATGGCCGTACAAATTGAGCCCGTCAATTATACCTATATGGCTGCATTTATATACAATGTAAAACTCGTGTCCTGTATTTGAATTTCTACTTGCGTTCTTATTATCGTGGTATTGTACAGCTGTCGGTGTACACTCCGTACCTACTACGATAATCAACCATCGGGAGTATTATAACACTGGTCTATCGTTGCATTTTTAGGTATGATCGAAGCAAGCCTGGCCAGAAGGCGGCAAATAATGTCGATAAGAGAAATTTTCGTATCTTCGAGAGTACCGATATATGATATTCCGTATCCACCTGTCCCGAGCTTCGTCAGGCACCATAAAGCTCCAATAGTTTCATCGAGTGACTCTAGCACCTATCGAGCTGCGAGAAGATTCGTCTCTTTGCCGAAGGTATGCTTTAATTCATCATAATAATTGTGTAAATTATTTTAATGCTCTGATAGGCTCCTCCCCGACATTCGCACCTCTTAATCGTTTACCTCTTAAACGTACGTCCCTTATGAATGTTACTCATCATTCCTATCGATTTTGTTATTTCGCCGTATTATGTACAAATTTCGCATGAAATAATTTTCACTGACTGATTCACTCATGACGTCGCTGAGTAATTAGCTCTTTACGACCGAATTACTATTTTATTATTCACTTTGCTCAACGGCATATTCCTCGTAAATGATATTAATTGTTGGGATAAGTTTTTCCCCTCGATATTTCAGCCGATAGTGTTATTGATTTATATTACAGATTTCAGCATAATAGATATTATAATGAAAACTGTTGCCATCAACCACAGTTTATTATAAATCTTCCCTTTGGCCATCATGGCCTGTTATCGATCTATTAATCTATTAAGGATGGAATTGTATGGCATGCAATGTAAAAATGTATTATTACAGCTGTAATAGCATTTATCAGATGTAGAACCGAATTATTAGGTAAAAAAAAAAAAAAAAAAAAACATTATTAGCTGTGATAGAGCACGATAGAGCATAACGGTTATATTATAATCGTAATTATAATTATATTTGATATTTATCATTTAATCTTAAAGGGTAACGTTAGCTTTTAATTTCAATGGACATAAACGTCTTTAATCGAATAAAATTTTTGAAAGCTTCATTCACTCCATTTATGCAATGAATTTAATTCCTCCGCACCCTTAAATAATACCTTAATAAATATATAAGAATACCATATAACTTTCTTTAATTTAAATCGCCAAGCCAGTTATTTCTAGCGGTTGTGAAAAATTTCCGAAATTTCTAATAAACTTTTTATTTTACTAAAGATGTTAACGTCGAACAAATGCTCGGCACAAGAAAAATGATGAATGTACTACAAAAATGTATTTATTAGTGCCATTACAATAATGAGGTAAATATTGCTGAAAGTACGTTCTTTGGAATGTATTTTGAATATTAAAAGTAAGCTCTTTGGAATGTATTTTGAATATTGAAAGTGAGTTCCTTGAAATGATTATCTAACTATTAACGAAATGATCTGTTTACATCAATTTCTTATCTTCGGCATATTTGTAAGTGCACTATGAGAAATAATTCATACGCGCCATAAACGATGGTGTATACATTATCGCTACGTCGATAAGATCAGTATATCTGCATGTTTGTAGCAAATATTGCGTAAATACATTAGTCATCTTAAGACTAAAATAAAATTTATTACATAATAATAGTAAATAATAATTATAGAATTTATTGGAAGAAAACAATGAGAATAATCAATTAGAACAACGAAATTAAAAAAAACGACTAAATAATTTGGAACCATTGAGTTATATTAAAATATTAATTGCAACAATTAAATAGCAAACAATAAAAAAAAAAAATAAAAAAAAAAAATGTCACCATTAAGGCCACTGGATTTGTTTTCATACTTATTTGTTTGCGAAGAGTACGGAATCTTTGTAATAAGGCAAGAAGAATTCCGTGAAGATTATGTATAATTTTTGTATTGATTATAATTTAGGATAACCTGTAGTAAATATAATCTTACAAGTTTTAAAGCGAAAATTTTTTCAAATAATTTATTGTGCTGAATAATTGTGGCGAAATACCTGAGGCATTCTCTTATTATTTAATCGATTATATTTATTAATATAAGTATTAGAAAGAGGTTTTGTGAAATTTTAAATAGGTCATATTTCTCATGACCTTTCACGTTTTCTTTTAAGCAACTAAATGAAGCAAATAGAATTCAACTTACACATACAAAGATACCATATATTCACGAATAAATCGTACCCACTAATATAAATC